AAACTATATCCAGCAGACCTCCTCTGTCTCAGCCCCCCCGCCCAGCTAAAGAAAGCGTAAGCAAAGTCACCAGCTGCTGCCCTGCTTCGCCGCTGTGCCGCCCCGTGCATTTAAGCCACCCAAAATAAAGGCGGATAAGCATAAAGACAGAATAAAAATAAAGGCGAGCTCAACAGAGGCAGGAGGCCAAAGGCCAGATGCACGGGATAACCCCTGGCGTGCCCGTGAGTTCGCCGCCCCTCCCATTCCCACAACCAGATTCCAACTTTGGAGCCCCAAACGTGCCCTCGGGAGAAGCGGCCCTCACCTTGTGTCGACGGCGCTCGGCAGTGCTGGCTGTCCCGACCCCGGGTTTCCGTTCTCCTCTTCAGCCCCCGCCTGCACCGATGCTCGGGAAGTGTCCACTGTGCAGCTGCTGGTCCCCGGCCCTCCTGGAATGCCACTCGGTGCTCCCGCTGGCCGTGCACCGCTCACCCCGCTGTGCCCCGCACGCCCAGCACACTCCTCACCACTTACGTCAGACGAGAGAACCTCAGGAGCAGCCTTCGCCGCGGGACGCGGGGAACCTCCGGGGACTTTTCCACGGCTCGCCACATGTGGCTGGGAGACCGCTGCCATGGCTGTGAGAGGAGGGGAGCAAAGGCCAGAAGTTGCACGGCTGAGAGAAGCAACTGCGCAAGGAAAATGGGCTGCTTCTGGTGCCACAGGTCCCTTCCCTCGTTCTGGTGCCCAGCGGCTCATGCCAGGCACACGGAAAAAGGGTGCATAAAGAGAACAGGGAGGGGCAGCTTGGCACCAACAGCAAGGTCATCCTCACCACAACCAGCCCTGCAGTGAGATCGCTGGAGTCCCAGAAATGCTTCTCCCCCCAAAAATCCAAGCAGAAGGCAGCCAAATAGAAACAGAGCAATGGTACTTTTTTATCCACCATGCTCCTGCACCTCCTCCCCACTCCACCCAATTTACCTTCCTTGAGGCACGCCTCGGAAGCCGACGGAGGATGGCCGGACGGGTCCTCCTCTTCTTCAGCCAAGGTGTTCAGATCCCGCGATGCGTCTACGTGAGGAGGAGGAGGAGAGGGTGCCGTTAGCAAACAAAGAGGTGGAAGAGAAAGAAACAGAGGAAAAAGGAAGGTTTGGCGTGAGCCCCTGAAGATTGCAACCCATCATAGGGGAGAAGATTCGGATTCAGCATCTATCGCGCACGGCACACGAAGGACGGAAATCACGGCCACAAAATACAGAAAGACCCATCCCCCCCAGTAAGAAATCCATAAGAAACAAGAATCGGCTGCTAAAAGCGGACGGTTCAAAGGGCCTGTGCTCCGATCCACCATGCCACCTCTTCAGGTTCCGAATCTGCTACTTGTCCAAAGCTTGTATTTAAGAGCAGAAGTAGGTGGGCCCCGCTGGTCGTCTAGCTCACCCTCCCTTTGCAAGCAGGACAGTTTGCAGCTCGGCTGGGTCAGGCACTGAGTTTCCAGCCAGCACAAGTCCATGCGTTCTCTGTCCTTTTCCACCCCTTCTCCTCCTCCCTGTTTCAAAAACAGAGAACCTGACTCCCATCCTATGGATCGGACACTTCCACCATCTTTTGGGGGTTAGGTCACATTCCCGCAGGACCTAATTGTTGCGGGGAAGATACACGGAGTTAGAAGTGGGCAAGGGCATTCATTCTCTCTCAGTCACCCCCGTGGTATCTCGCTGCCTGAAACCCTCTAAAACAGTGCTTCTCAACCTTGGCAACTTGAAGATGTGTGGACTTCAACTCCCCCAATTTCCCCACCCGCCATTCTGGCTGGGGGATTGTTGGTGTTGGTGGTCACCAGCTTTTCAGTTTCCACGGGTGGGGGAGAC